CTTAATATAATGAATGTCAAAATGAAATGATTGTAAACACAACAAATTTAAGATAAATGATTGTGACGAAAAATGAACAATGTATGAAAAATCAAACAAATTTATTTAATAAAAATAAAATTTACAACCCAAAAAATTTTTTTTGCATGTTATAATAAAATTTCCATTGTTGCTGTCATCTGTTGCTGATTCAACATTGCCCGGATCATCATCAACTGTATTTTCGTTATTTTCGATAAATTCATTTTCATTTAATATTTTCATCATATTTTCTTTTAGTGTGTTGACATTTTTTTTTGATTTCGACTTGAAGATAGTCCAAGATATCAAATATTTAGATTGACACCTTTGTAGACAATGATTGTGATAAATGGGTACACTACAATTATTCAAATTAGTATGGTTAGTGTAATCACATTATATGCAATTGCAATAAATGTTTGTAGATGGTTTCAAAGTTTTAGTAATTAAAGGATACTGATTGTCTCTAGATGTGAATCGTCAACATTCAATAAAGAATGTATTTTTTGAATATTTTGTAAGTGTATTCTCTACATATTTCTCATGTTCATCTGCAACTTGCTTCTTTTTACGATCTACTGCTTTTGATGTTGTAGTTACTCCAAGACTTGTATCTACCGAGTCTAAATAGAATGCAAGTTCGAACTTAAAAGAGTTAATTTTTGTATTATTTAAAACAAGAAGAAGATAATACATGAACACCACCATTAATCTCTTCATATGATCCATTATGTTCAAATGGCTGAGCTGCTAAATAGAGTTGGTTAAAAAACCCTTCAAGCTTGGTTCTATTTCTTGGAGCAATCTTTGTATTTGATGGCTTTAGTGAAATCAATCTTTTCACTTATCTCTTCCCCTTCTGCATCTGTGGTTTTTACTCTCCTAGGTTCTCTTTTAAAAGATTTTCTACAAAATTCATATAACAAATGTTACATAAAACAACACGTTACTTTCTCTAAGTTGTTGTTCTCAGCTTCTTTCCATTTATTGCCTTTCGTTGATGAAATTTAGCTGATTCAGTGGTTTTACATTCTGTGCAATGTTTAATTTCAGACATTTTTTCTTCAAGTAAATCGTATTATGAAAGTTGTGGGATTCAAAGGGATTCAAAAGATATGATAACAACAAAGTGTAAAGCTTCAAGTTTGTGTAATTATTTACACATGATTTATTGCAAGAATGGGCTACATGATACCCTTGTAAAAGTATTTTAAACTGTATAAAAAAAATTGAAATCAATTGTGAAAATCCATTCCTTATATAGGACGTTCTCTCCTGTTTAGGTACAATTTTGAACACATCAATTGACAGCAAACAATCAATGATGGGTGTAGGAACACATGTAGGAACACATGTTAACATTGCAGCATGGATGACATGACAATAAACGCGTCCACATGCGAAAAAAAAAGGAGAGACATATGGTGTAAAAATAAACACGTACATGTTCTTAACAATTTCGAACATGTCGATTGACAGCAACAACAATCAATGGTGGGTGTAGGAACACATTGCAGCATGGATGGACATGACAATAAACATATCCATGTAGCATAAAAAAAAAGAAAGATGTATGGTGTAAAAATAAACACGTAGTTGCATACATGTTCTTAACAATTTAGAACACATTGAATGTTCACCAATGATTTCATAACAAACATGTTGATTGATCAGATAATAGTTCACAGCCATGATCTCATGCGCCTGAATCAAGAATCAACAGATAAATGTAGATCTCAAATTGAGGTGCATTTGTTGGTTAGAACTTAAAATTGTTGAACTTATCATTCAAAACCAATGCAAAAACATGTTTTATTGTCAATTTTCACAACAATTGGTTTAAAAGTTAGTTGTTAAGTAATTTCCGGCCAATTAAAATCATTAAAAAAATTTTTGTAATTTTGGTTTTTCTTATCCGATGATTCTTGAGATTTTTGATGAGCGTACCAGTACACAAAAAAATACATGTGAAATTTCTGACATTCTAATACATGTTAATTATTTATTCAAATTTTAAAATTAATTTGTGGCTATGGAAAAAAGTAAACAGGTTCTCACAGATCACAAACTTATAAAAAAATCACCTATATAAATGAACTACGCTCCCTCCTCCCTCTCTTCTCTTCTCTTCTCTTCTCTGCAAGTTATAAGAAATTAAACCTTTGCTGTATGACTCTAATACACCAGAATAAGAAAAAATTACAGATCTGGTTGAAGTATGGAAATGATTTCAAAAATCAGCAAAGAAAATTACGAGTTTTGGCAAGTAATAGTGACACGATGAGCATTCAATCTTTTATTTGTGTTAATCACGTTAAATAAAATCGGTAATGATCCATCCAGTGTTATTTTAATAAGTTCCATTCTACTTTCTGAATCTAACTATTAAATAAATTTGTTCTCTCTATGTCAAATCTCAAAATGCCATTCACTGCATCTGATGAATTTAACATTAAAATAAAGATTTGTTGATTTATCAAATAATTTTTTGATTGATTAATAATAACAACATTTTTATTAAATTAACAATTCCCCGTAAATTCCCATCAATGGTTGATCAGCGGAAGATAATATTAATATTAATATTAATAATATAATAGCTAATACTTGAACAATCAAGCCGATCTTAAAATATTCTGATCATTATTTGATATAGTGAATGGTATTTCTATTATAGTGGCAATCATCTAAAGACATCATCAAATGTTGCCAATCTTTAAGTGCTGATACTTTGTTAAATATGGGCTATTTTACCAAAAACTCTCTATTTTTGCAATATTCTAGACATGAAAATTAATGTAATAGAAAGTTTTTTTTGAGTTATTTAATTAAAAAAAAAAGTTATAATGGTTTAAAGTTGGGTAACTTTGCTATTTTATTTGAAATTTCGGCAACTATATATCTAAACTGCAATTTACAGATTATTTACCAATTATTCACGTGACAAAGTCACAGATCTTTTACAAATTTGGATTTATTTTTATCGTTATATATTGAATTCTTTATAAAGCAAGATCAGCATAAAAATTTTCGGCAAGTGGCGCAGCACGTGATGTCTTTAGATGATTCGCACCATACTACATTTATTGGTGGATAAGTTGAACCATTTCTTTGCTTGCTATTTCTATTACACCATTTATTGGGTGATAAGTTGAATCAATATTTGGATTAAAATCAGATATCAATTTTCATTTTATATAAATAATTTTACCATCAGGCAGAAATCAAGGAACTTTGAGCAGAAATCATGTTCCAACTTTTATTATCATTTTCAATAAATGTTATCAAATTACTTGGCATCAATCTAATGTTGTATTTTATTTTCAAGTTATTATCCAGTAATTGTATATTTTATTAAAATTCCAGTTTTTATTGTTACACTGATTTTTTATATTAATATTGCTTTTTATATTCAACAGGATCATAGATAGATCAGTAACAAAATTCCTGTTTGTTATATGATTTGACCCAGACTAAAACTAAGTTTAATATACAGTACCTGGACAAAAGTATCGGACCCCCTAAATGTATTAATTACACAAAAACGTACATAATAAGTATACAGAA